ATAATAATAATAATAATAATAATATTAATAAGAATATTAATAAGAATAATAATATTTGCTAGAGCAGACTGATTATTTTGGTAGCTTTCGCTGATGTGGCCCCGTTTTCACTCACACACGACCACTATATTTACTACATTTACTACCACTACATTTACACGAAAAATGGTTTGTATAAAACTTATTTTACATAGATGTTAATATATCTATGAGAGGGCCACTGTAATTGGCATACGTGTAGTGGATTCCCAGCCATCGTACGGCCTAAAAGCGGATCTCCCATTAGGCACATGGATCCCAATTTAAATTAAAAAAATAAAATAAAATAAAATCGGGGAAAAAATCTTCAAGAAAAAAAAAAAAAAAAAAAAAGAAAACAGAAAGTGAAAAAAGGAAATTGAAATGCACTACATCGTTTTCTTCGTACGAGTCCTTGTTTTCGGCCTTACTACTCTCCCACTTAGGATTTTGTCACATGTACACAACCCACTACCCACCACCCCAGGGGCTTGTTAACATACGATAGTTGGTTATAAACTACCGAATTATTGAAAATTTTGGTATAAGCCGACTAAAGGGCGACTATATTTTGTGATATGTGCTCCTTTTTATATGTCATCCAGCATTCAAATAAATTACCTATAGAAACATTAAAACTTTCGAGAGTAAGTCTTTGATAAATTGTCGATTTGTCAAAGGAATCTGCTTTTTCGAGAAGCAAACAAATATACGATTGTTGCCTAATAAACAAACACATGAATTCTTGAAAAATACTTCTAGATCAATCTTTGACTACGTAAAAACGGTTTTGTTGTTGTTGTTGTTGTCGTTATGTTCACATTTGTCCTAAATCAATGTTTTTTGTGCATTTACGAGTCTGGCTTGCGAAGCGTTTTGCTTTGGCATCAAGCAGGATCCCAGTGGTGTGTACACGGACGTCAAAAATCAAGTCGAAAGGCTACCATTTACATTTCATTACAGCATGAGCGATATGCGATTTCGACATTAAATTGTTATCAATATAAAGGCCAAGTAGTTTATGGCAGTTCACGTTTTTTAAAACTGCGTTTCTGTTTTTGTCTTGTGCAAATGGTTAGAGTTTCAGTTTTGTCCTTGTTTATTACCAAACGGTTAGCTTGAAGCCATTAATGGATTGAGGTCAAAACAAGGCTATCGGGTCGAGCTTTGAAGAGTTCAATAAGAAAATTCACAAATCTTCGAGAGATCACAATATTTTGATTGATATCTTTGAAATACTAAGTATTATTTCGTCTTTCTAACTATGGTCAAATACTATATAGTTTTGGATGTATGAACAGATTTTTGAAGGCCGAAAGCAAGGAATTCGATCGGCATTTGCCACCGAACAAAGTTCGTAATTTGCCTCTGAAAAGCCACTGAGAAAGAACACTCCAGTTGGCACAATTTCTTACAATTGTAGATATAACCTCAAAAGTAAATGTTTTTTTTTAAAACCACGTGGAGGACAGGGGTTTGTTTGAAGTCAGTATCTGTCACAAAGTGCCATTTACCGTAGAAAAGTATCACACCTAGAGCAGATGGGGTCCTAAAAGCACCTAAACTAGATAGTACCCTGGGTGAAAGAACATACCTAACATCGACAGTCATCACATCAATACCACCCTTCTTCTTAAATACTACTGAGTTTAGTTTCAAGAACAACTATAACGAACAAATTCACGGAACCGCCATGGGACTGGCCAATATCCGTTGTAGTTACAAATCTTGTCATGGAGGGGCTAGAATTTGAATCGCCAAAAACATGTGTTAACACTGCACGAGTTTACCGCCGCTACAAACCAAACCTGATTTTATGGATGGTAACCTCGTGAGTTTCAGGGTTTTCATATTTACAAATCCACTATTGCTTGGGTCGAGTTTGTTACATATTTACTTACTTTGCCCAAGCAGCATCCACTGTATCTCCCTCCTCTTTCTTTACCCTTAAACATACAGCTTCACTTCCGACTCTAGACAAAGTCAAGTAAAACCTCTCTTGACCGTCACTCCAATCACTGTATACCTCTTCCAATTGTACAATACTCTGGTTGGCAGGTTTGAACCACAACATGAACGTGTATCCCTCGGGACTCATCACGACTGCCGGAACTTCTGCGTAGCCTTTGAACCCAGGAAAGTAAAGTGCTTTTTCTCCATCGACCACTTCGTACCTTGGAGATGGGGCTCCCTTCAGCCTATAGGACAATAAAAATGGCTTAGTTCACAGCCTGCTATAGCGATCACATTTTGTGGTCCAAATGAATACCTAAAGGCTCTTACGCCTAATTTCAAAACCTGTGTAGTGCTATCTATGATATTAATATATACAGAGAGCTATTTGTTTGTTTGTTGTTGGTTCGTTACTTACACGACGTCTCCATCGGTTCCATCAAGTACCCAGTATTTCAACAACCCTGGTAAATCATTCCCTGGTAGTGCTGGAAAACAAACGTTTTGAATCATAGCATATTTCATTTCACAAATCATGATGTAATGGCAAGTCATTCATTCGTTTGGTTAATAAAGGCTTTGCATCATCACGTGAGGTAGTAATGACAGTTGGTAGGAAGAATCGAATCTGCTTTACATGAAAATCTGGTAGGTTGGTCAGTCAGTTGGTTGGTAGGTTGGACAGTCAGTTGGTTGGTAGGTTGGACAGTCAGTTGGTTGGTAGGTTGGACAGTCAGTTGGTTGGTAGGTTGGACAATCAGTTGGTTATTAGGTTGGACAGTCAGTTGGTTGGTAGGTTGGACAGTCAGTTGGTTGGTAGGTTGGACAGTCGGTTGGTAAATTGGACAGTCGGTTGGTAAATTGGACAGTCGGTTGGTTAGTATCCTGGATAATAGGTTAGTAAATGAGTTAATCGGTCGGTCACTTGATTGGGTGGTAAGTTTTCAAAAATTCACATACCTATGTTATTGCCTTCTGACGTCATACTTTTCAAAAACATATCAATAATAAAGAGATTTTCATAATTTGTTTTTATAGAAGCTAGATCAGCTCCTTGGGACTGACAGTGGGCTCGTGCATCGATCCAGGTTTTGTTTTCATGGATTATCTTCACAGCAGCATCATTAATGCGATACCATCCTCCACCCAAATCTGAATGAACAATGACAACAACGTCACACGTCACCAAAATACTAGGCATGCGCAAGCATAGTAGACCGCTGGTCATTTTATAGGTGCATATGATGGTTTGCAAATTTACGATATTTCAGTTTCCCAATTCTTTGTCATTAAAATGCCTCTGTGTTTGGGGTTTCCTGCAACAAAAGATTTCCTGTCCAAAATACATTTATGAATGATATGTTTTTCCAATAGGTTACTTTGTTTATCGAAGCATTGTTATTTTATGAAATTTAAATTAAAAAATTCGAATGCATTTTTCCGTTCCATCTTGTCATTGAGAAACTTTGACCCCCTTTTTGCAAAGGCCTTGGTCAAGATTGTCTAGTGATTGGTCAAGATTGTCTAGTTACACATAGAGAGAATCTGGAGTCTCATATTAATTTGTTCCATGTTTTCCTGCATAATTAATTATCCTAACGTTTTATTGTGTTTACATAGCCTGATACAAAGAAAGATCTCGAACTCTGTGTTAAGATCGCCAACAATTTGATTCACACATCAGCTCTCGACTTCTCGCAAACATACCAACAACCTTGGTGATACTTACTCCATGCATGAGAACTTGGAATGATTTTTTATAATTAATGTAAATTAGCCACAAGTGTTAGAAACTTATGTCACTTACCTTCTTTGATGAGTGTACATCCATTTCTGTCACATTCTTTCGTGTTCTAACAGAAATGAGTAGTTTTAAGAATAATAACGACAATAAGTATGAAAACTCACTCTCTTTCTCCATGCCTGGAGACTGAACAATGTGTATTTGCGGTGTGATGATAGCATTTACAGTAAAAATGTATGGGACAAAAACAAAAATGTAATTTTGCCTCCAAAATCCCTTCAGCGTCACAGCTCAATGATCCTTTTCTCCAGAAAAATGCATTATTTCCTCAGATCCCAAGATCAATTTTATGAAATCTTCAATATCAAGCGATTATAAGCTACACTTTTTGTGGCTAGACGATCTGAATCCTCATTTCCTTGCACCCCAAAAATTTGAATTAAAAGGGGGTCATTGTTATTATTTCTACACAAAATGTTATGGCATATATTCCGTTCTCCTCATAAGATGTATATAAATCTGCCGCAATACCAGAGCTACCATTTTTCGTTTACAGGATATTATGCAAAATATGTCACGTGACCTGTTTGTTCAATAAAACATAGGCATAGGCATAAAAATAAATTATTGAACTCACTCCCATCTGGTGGTACTGGGATCCCTGTGTTGGTACCAGGCTCCCTGGACTCGCTTTCTTGCTGGAGTTGTTCAGATCACATTCAAACATCCCAAAACTGTTGACACGAACATTGATGGAGAAGCAATTCATGATCCATACGCATTTATCCCAGCACAACTCGACATATGGCGTGGTCATGGTTGATATCACGTGGTCTTTGAATTCTACATCTTGTTCTTTGACAAAGCTGTACTTTTCACATGCGTGAACGATGCAAATGTGCATCAGCAATAATATGACTCGCTGCATGACTTGCTTTTTGATGCTATGAAATGAAGAAATTTTAGTATTGGGTTAAAATGATTTTTCATGCTACAAATGCAAGGCTAATTAGAAATTTATCAGAATTTACACTCGATGATTATAATGTTCAATATAATATTTGCGGCAAATATTAAACTAAACAAGTTCAAATATCCCGTGTGTATCGATATCCTGTGTCCTTGTACATTTTATTGTTCGTTATTTCCCATAGTGCTGTGCGTGTTAACTGCGTCAATGTGCTTGAGGTGGGACATTTCGTCATGTAGTGTATGTGTCATTCATTCGTTGAGTTTTATCATGTTAAAGAGTTTCCTCCTTGGGCACAATTACGATCTTTAGATTCCCGTGTACATTGTAATATTTTCCATTCTTTGTTGTTCAGGTTTGAACAATTTTCATAATCAGTTACGGGATTTACTTGGTTAAATAAAGTGCTAAATTAATCGATCTCATGTGATTTGTGCCTCGTGTGGAAACCGACATTTGTCAACTCGACCTTTCATATTCCTTAATGTAGCCAAATACACTATGAATATGACCTATGATATGAATAATTTCTGCAATATATTTTAGGCTGAGAAATTACATCACAATGGCATAATGCTAACCAAATCTACGAGGATTGTGGAATTTGAAAAATATATATACAAAATATTTGGCTCGAGGTGATGCCGCACAAATGACCGAGAGCCAAATATTTTCCCGTATGGCCCGACCTAACTCAGTCAATAAGCAATTTATCATATGACCCTAAATAAAAAAATATATCTTAAAAGCTGCAAATTATGTCAATACGGTCGCAGGTTTCGAGCATAACCGTACGGATTCGTACGGCCCTGCTCACGCCATTTTCCCGAAGGTTTTTTTTACGGGTCATATGATAATTAGTATTATCAAAGCAGGGCCGTACGGCTTTGAGCGAGCCCGTACGGCCTTGAGAACTTATTTTCGTGTGAAAATCTTTTTACTTCGTAAATGAACTAGGGTACAAATAATTTGCTTTACTACTATAAAATTTATTCGTTTATTCGAGAATATGTTTGTAAGATTGTAAAATAGCCAACTAACTTTCTGTGTCTCCATAAACTTTTGACAATCTTCGCGTCCCTTAGTTTGTTCACATCAAGTTTTATATCGGAAACTCTTCACTTCTCGACGTCCAGCCGCAAATGAAGAGAGTTTTGCATTTTGTCCCGTGAACGGCTTCGCGCGCTGTGTCCAACCCCCCTCTCCCTGGCAGATGTGACACTTGCTCGCTCACTCATGAAGATGTTAGCAGATAATTAAACGTTTATCAATAGTCTTACCTCATCTGCTTACGAGTGTAACAGGAAACATACTTCATACAAACAGCACGAACTTCTAATGCAGGTATGAAATCTGAAATGTTCGATGAGAAATGATTCTTCGGACACTCGCACATAGCCTTACTAGTCCGGGAGCCTATGTAAGATTTCCAGCTTCCGTGGGAATTTTGTAATTAAAGCAAGCGACTAGCTTCCCTAGTTGTGTAGAGGGACCCCTAATTTGTAAGAAAAAAGATGTTGCCAGTTTTGCAACCTACACCGACGCCTTTTAGGGGATGTCGGTATTAAAAAGTGACGTCATGGGACCTGCATGAAAACAAGGCTGGCCTTTAAAATTTTTATAATCGTAGTAAATAAGGACAAAACTTCAAGGAACCGAGATGGAATACAAGATATACCATATTATTTGCATGAAAATAGTTTGAGAGTAGTTACAAAGTTAGCTGCACGGATTAAGTTTTGATTCAACATTAAAGTAAATTATCTAAAGACATATTAAGTTTATTCAAAGAAAGTCTTCTTTGGTTTGCCGATAAATAGGAACCGATAGAAGGCGAAAGAAACTGTTTCTTCTTGAAAGTAAAAATATACGATAGTTTGTTAAAAAAACCTGAATATTAATTCTAATTGTATATTCATAATGCTAATGCGAATTGTTTGTGTATTATGTAATCCTTTTTAAATTGCATTCAGCATTACACTGATACATTTTCTACTTCTGAGGTTTGTTAATTGTTTGATTTGTCGATTTGTCGAACGAAACTGCTTTATCATTGGCTAAGAAAGCACACACTTGAATTCCTGAAGAATTCTGATTGTTCAATCTTTGACGATATAAAAATGCTTTTTGCTAATGTTTGTCTTAATTGTGCCCCAAATATAAAGTGAGTAGATGCATTCCGTGCATTCGCAATTTTTTTCTTTGGGGGGAAAATCTTGGCGGGATACCTGTAGTGTGTACACGGACGGACGGACGTGTCGCATTCAAACCATTAATTTTTTTAAGTATGGTGTTCCGCTTAGGCGGACCTTCAGCCTGAGAAATAGAATATTAACGCAATAATCTCCGTTCCCACATATTCTTCTACATAATTATTTAGATATAATTGATATATCGAAAAACATAATTATAAACTGTTACCTGTTTAGTTATCGTGCAGGAGATGAACCAAAGTTGATAAAGCGATAAAAATCCGCAATAGATCTAGAGCGAGGGCAATCTTTTATGTCGGGTCAAGAATAATGTCTTGAAAACAGGACAAATAGTCGATTGTACTGCAACTGAATTTGAACCTAACAAACATTTTATAATACTATTTCTTACGAACTTGCGTTTGTAAATGTAATCAAATATTGGTTCTTTTATCTCGGCAGCAATACATTCAATTAGCTAGAATTTCTTTCGAAAAACTCGACAACGATACTCAAAGACAAGCAGGTGAAATAGTTTGTTTTCTCATCTCCATCTACACACAAAATTAGTCAAACATCTCATTATTGTAAGTTCATAAAAATGGCAAGATAGTGATTTTCCCCTCCTAATTTCCTTTCTCGGCTTCTTGTAAAAAAGATTGATTTGAAAAATCGAATTGAATTGACAGGAACTCGATGCCAACATGAAGCTTTTATTAAAATAACACAACACCGACAACAGTTATTTTCACTTGATTCACTAGCTGCACCGACACTGGTGGATAAAATACTGAAATCTTCATCAGGCTGTATTTTAATTTATTTTTTACTTTATTTCTTACTTTTCCTTTAACGTTGACATTTGAAATGTTTGTCTAATTTTGTGTGTGGAAGAGACACCTTTCCTTAACAGATATGCTATTTAGAAAAATCCCATCTACGAATTCTGAACGTTTAATATGTTTGTTTGTTATGATGGCTGACTGATAATCATTCCGGTTTAAAGTAAAATTCACCGTTTGGTTCCTGAGTTATCAAAGAAAAATGTGGTGTCCCGAGTTCCTGAGTTATCCATGGTTTATGGTCTTTGGTTTTTTGCGGGTTTACTCGCTGTCATATTATAGTCATCTTTTTATTATTTTTTTAGTTCATAATTATGAGCGTATATGAAGACACAAAACACTTTCCATCCTCCTTAAAGAGGTGAGGTCTGGTAATTTTTAACTTCTCTAATTAGTTTGGAAATGACTTTAAGTAAAGCGATTAGCTCTTAATCGTTCAGCATTATAAGACCGTCAAACGAAGCATTGAAAACCTAATAGAGCCCGTAGTCTTATGAAAGTTTTCCAAACAGCTTTACCTTTTCTTTTCTTTTCTTCTTCTTTTCTTCGGTGAAGACTTCAGATAAATGTCCAAAAAACTAGTCAGCGGTTCTTGAAGAGTCACCGATGATGGCTGAAGATTCTGTCTTATCCACTAACAAACAACGCGACAAAATAAGGCATTTTTGAACATAGTATCATTGTTTAAAATATATTAATCAATTATTAACTATAGAAGCAACCATTTGACATACGTTGTTTTTAGATATTGCTTCACTTTGTTTTGCTAAACTGAAAATAACTTTGGAATACAATCGAAGCACTCGATTTTTCTATGAAGAAATGTTCTAATAAGTAACAAATCGACGGTGCCAAATACTTGTCATATGAATTTTCGACCCATCTCTCCACAATCTCTCTACTTTTCTAAAGCATTAGTAATACAAAAAGATATATTTTGAAGTACGAATTAATTGTTTTGATTAGAAATTTAAAGATCTCTATTTTTCAGATTCAAGAAGCAAGGTCGCCGAGAACCCGTAGGTGTTAAACAAACCCTTTAAAACCTATGAATAAACACTGAACGCCCACCAGACAAATCACTGTGTTGTTATATGATCTTTAAATTTTTGTAGTGATGGAAGACAAGATATGTCACTTTCAATAAGATTTAAAAAATACTAAATATATGTCTCTCAACTGAACTCCGTCTCTGAAGGTTCCCGTGTGAACCTTCGAACGCGTTTAATTAGAGGCTAAACATTATCTTCGCCCCCTAGCAATGAGTTGACATTCAACCTAATAACGACACCACGTCGTGTTCAAACTGCCTTCAAAACAAACGTGCAAAATGTTCCAGTTAAACACTCAAACGCTATACGTTATCAGTTTAAAAATGTCATATAATTTAAGTGGTGTGTAAATCTTGAACCAAAGAAGACAAGCAAACGTTAATGAAAACCACTCTATCTTATATATATATACATATAAATTAAATCAAATCTTATATATTATTTTATTCTTTTATTTCAATATTGACTTGGTATTAACGCACGGGTTTAGGGTATATAAGGCGGATTAAGCCTGAAGCTTGTAAAGTAGACGTGAGACAAATGAAGTGTATTAATAGAGCAGTCATATCGACTGGTACCTCTCAGAAACTAGTGGTCACACTAGAAACCTCTCTTTCGCCATAACGGTAAACAGAACTTGTCAACCATCATAAGATGTTTTAGTTTTAACACACCCACGAGATCCCCATTGAGCTACCACAATGTATGTTTTCAGGGTCAATAAACACAATTGATAACGGTAAACAGAAATTGCTACCAAATCATAGTATTTTCTATTTTTAACACAACCACGTGAGATCCCCATTGAGCATAGTTAATAGACTTAATTTATTATGCATTGAGTAACTACACGATGTTTTAGATATAAACACAATGGATAACGGTAAACAGAACTTGTAACTATAACAAAATGTTCTAGTTTTATGCAAAGAAATACACACGAAGCAATAACGGTTTTCAATGACAAATCTGTGGCCCTTCATAAACATAGAGAAAAAAGAATTCTCAGCTTTACTCCAATTGATATTATTTGTCGTTTTCATTATTTTTCTATCACACATTAATAATACTTATGGAGGGCAAAATGTTAAAAAAACTGTTTGAAATCTAGATTATTCCCATAGGTTCCATAGCAAGCAGCACGTTTAGTAAGTAAATAGGTAAGACTCCACTTAACAGCTTAACAATCTCAATACTTGAGAGCTATAAATCACATTAAACCATTCTCTACTTTCGCATACACATAGTACTTTGCTGCTTTGTGGGGTAACCAGATAAGATATCCATGGCGTTCACCTACGTCATCGCAAATTTAAGAATAATATTAAAGACTGATGAGCCGATGCTGAAAATACTTCTTGATATTTAAATATAAAATTAAATAACTAGAAATAGAGATAGAATATTGAAGAAATTTAAAGCAAAGTTTAAACAATTCTTCACGAATATATTATTTATAATATATATATATTTCAACACCAAACCTTTTGATTTTCTGAAATTTTATCGCGGCTAGAAAATAACAATTGAGAAAACATTTTTTTTGGTTATGTAAGATGGTTTTTAAAGGTATCTGGGATTGAGCACATGCGTAGTATTGTCAAGTTAATAGAGTAAAAACTAAAACAAAAATCTTCCACGTGAAAAACGAATCGCAATCCGTGATCAAAGTTTTGACACAATAATGTTCTTTAAGTATAGCATTTTAGTTTTAAAGATAATAAACAGTCAATTGCCTTGAACGTTTTGCACAGAAAAAACACCAAAAGATGTCACGTGATACCTAATAAACTCGCTCTAAATGCTTGGTAACAGCAATCATTGTATACGTAGAGTTTATAATTATTACCCCTTGTTCATTGTTATGTATTGCAAAGGTTTAATCCAGAGTATAAAAAGGAATAAAAAATCAACATGTGACATTTGTTGTACTGCTAAACTCTATTATAAAATAACTGTTATGAATGTCGCGTTCTGATTGGTTTGAGAGAGCACATTGCATGCGCGCGCACTTTCCGTTGCGTCATTCCTACTTATTATTGTAATTTGTATTTAATAAAAGAAATAAAAAACTTGCTTGCTGTGCTGTGTGCAGTCATAAAGCACTTGGGGGTACTTTGGCAGAACACTCGAGAAGTGTCGAGAAGCACTCCGCTACGCGTCGTGCTTCTCCTAACACTTCTCTCGTGTTCTGCCAACCCCCGCATGCTTTATGACAGCACACAACACGCGCGCGCATTTTCTATTTCTTCATTAATTAAGCTGGAAAGCGATAATTAACTTTGTATAATACTAAATAATCTAGCCCGAGCGCAATAGTGGTGAGGTTAATAGCTTCTTTGTCTAAGAAAAGGTTATTTCGTGGACATCATTCCATGTAACCGTGCATTACAAGAGTTCACGAGGTCCCATAGCGGTTGTGCTTTCTGAGCTAATCCAGGTGCAAATTAGTGGTATTAGTTGATAAGTCCCAGGTATACTCGCACATCATTCTATGTTTGGGGTGTGGGAAACTCAAGAATGGATTTCACTTTGTCTTCGGACGGTCTGATCCCTTCATGTGAGATGTGTTGTCCCAACCACTTGACTTCTTTCTTTAAAAATGTGCACTTGTCAGGATGAATTTTGAGGTTATGTTGCTCAAGCTATTTAAAAATCTTGGTAAGTCTTTCTAAGGCTTCTTCAAATGATGATCCCCAACTGATGATGTCATCAATGTAAGCGTAACACTTCAACCCCTATGACTGGAGCGAGTACCATTACCATCATTCGTTGGAAATACCGCAGGATTGTTACACAATCCCATGGGTAAAACATTAAAATGCATTAATCTCTGGCCGGTTGTAAAGGCTGTCTTCTCTCTTTCTTCAGCACTCAGGGGAACTTGATAAAATCCACTCCTTAAATCTAGGGTCGAGAAATACTTCGCTCCTTGTAGAGACTGAAGTACATCTTCAAGAACTGGAAGCGGGTTGCGCCTTTGACTGTACCTGCATTCAATCGTCAATAGTCAATGCATAGCATTGGAGACCCGCCTTTCTTTCGACAAAGTACGAATGGGGCTGACCAAGGTGAAGAACTGGGCTCTACGATACCTGCTTCCTCCATTTTGTCTACTTTCTCTCTCTATAATTTCTTTCTCTGACGGGGAATAACGGTAGCTTCTTGATTTGACTGGCGCTGCTGACCAAGTATCAATGTGATGTTTGACTCCACTAGCTCTACCAAGGTCTAGCTGTGACTGTGAAAATAGGTGTTTATAGTTCCTTATTAGATTCCTGACTTGAGCTGCCTGCTCCTCTGTAAGGTGACGTAGATCAAACGAGTCTATCCATGTTTCGCTATCTGTACTGCCATTACTTTGTGAGACCAAATTAATGTCGAAACTTGTGTCTACTGAGGTAACTTGTGCTATGATTTTTCCTTTCTCCAACAAAATGGCTGCATTGTTCATGTTAGCTACTCTAACTGGTACTGTTCCTTCACTGTTAATGTTCACTAATGCATGTGCTACTAAGAATTCTGGTACGACATCTACACTCTAAATGATTGGTTCACACATCGCTACGCATGACTCTTTCTTTTCTTTGGACACTGAATTTAATGTGGTGGTTAGGATTACTTCTGAGCATGGAGGTATTTTTATTGCTTCAGACAAACAAAGCTTGTATACAGATTCTATGGACTCTACGCCGTAACTGAACAATAGGTTAGACTGGTTTTCTCCCATAAATAGGCTGTTGTTAGGTAAGTCAATCACTAGTCAGAATTTTCTTTCATGAAATCTACTCCTGAGATCATGTGAGATGTGATTTTTGCTTTATAGAAATTTGGCATGTAGAATTGCTGTCCGATTTTAATGTTCAGTTTTACTTCCTCGTTCAATGTAAATTGTCCTCCTCCCGCTGTGCGTGCATAGCGATGGCAAGGTTTCCTTTCTGCATTACTGCCTATGACTGTAAAGGTATTTGGACTGACAAGTGAGATTGTGCTTCAATATCCACAACTAAAGACTCCAAGTTATATGATAGAACAGAGCTAACAACGAACACGATAAGATTTCTATTGAATTACGTACACTATGTCCTCTGTTGTGTTCTCTACACGAAACTAGGCCTGAGAAAAACCTCGAAGCACAGAAGAGAACTCTACCCCGAGACCATGGCGAAGAAAGGCCGTAATATAATCGTAACTATTTTAATTGCAAAGAAACTTTCATGGGCATTAGTGTTTTTTTATAAATTTTTTATTTTGTTTTAATTTTTTGAATTCTGAATTACATTGACGATATATCAAAGTGTTTATTAATAAAGTGCCACTAAGATCAAAATTTTAACTTGTTTTTTGCCTGCCTGGATTGAAAGATCTTCGATAGTGAAATGAAATTGTTAGTTTCCTTTTTCAAATATCTCTCGAACCAAAAATGCCAAACAAGAAATGAAAAACGCTAGTTTTCTTCTTTTGCAAAGTACTTTAACATGTTTTTAGATTGAAAATTTTGGACTCATTAAAATTTCATCGTAGTGGCACTTAAAGGTATTCTTAAGGGTGAATTATATTTCTTGGTTTGCTAGGATGATTAATAATGATAATCGAGGTGAATGACGTTCAATTCGGTTTGTACGATAGATAAACAATTCAAGTGGACGACCGCGTAGCAGCAGATTCGTTAATTCTGAGTATGAATACAGGCTGAATTGGACGCGGATACCCAGCCCTGTTTTACCGAACAATCATAACTATTACCATTTCTGACAAAAATGTTTTCATAATAAAGAGCTAGCCATGAGAATACCAGTAAAATAAACAAACACAACGACACATTTTTTTTTTTGGTAAAAATGGGAGGAAAAGTTCTAATTCAGCCATGAAAAATCAAACCGTGCGCATTTTTACTAATGGAAGGGGTACGTGTAATGTGATTGGCTCTTACAACTGCCGATTACAGTAAATAGAGGAAATTGTAATAGTTTTGATTAATTAAAAATAGTGCGTGAACTTCCAGGGTAACGAAGGGAGGGATTCTCGCCTCTCAAAACTGTCATCCAATGGAATCAAGGCACGGCTGGCCCACATATCAATATGGAATACTCCAGTTGAAGTTTTCTGTTGCTCAAGATTAACCTCGAGGCACGATTAACTCAATTATAAATTAAGAATACTCCCGTTTCGAGTTCTCTGTTGCCCAGGATAATCCCCGATTTTGTGAAGAACATGAAAGTGTCCCAGGGAATTTGACAATAATCTATTTAGCAGGCAGCAGAGGTATTTTAATGGAGAAAAGCCAGAGATTCCATAGAAAATCCCTTAAATTGAGTGATATTGTTTAGGTAATTTTTGGGTGTGTTTGTGCAGTTTTTTAATATGTGCTCTAAAGCTCTCAAATAGTGATGTGTAATATCTGACTTTCTACAGTCACTTAAAGTGGGCACCTGGAGTACGTTATCAGGATAGTATATTTGATGTCTTGAGGTCTTCCAAATCGGAAGTGGCGCTAAGTATTCGGTGCAAATGAGGGATGGCAACTTGAAACGAATCAAAGGTTTACCAATTTCTCACTCCTCATATTCCGCTATTCTGTCTCTTGATAAATGATCCTTAATATGAACATGTGGTAGAAGGTGACTCAATACTACAAAGAAAATCATTTGATCAAGATTTTAAAAATTATTTGATTAATCTGCAAATTAACTTCAATTGAAGATTGCTATTGACAAATTTAATTCCAAACATAAATGTTCAGAGCAGAAAAACCGGTTAGGACATTCGAACGAAGGTTCATACGATTGTTATGCATGGGGCATCGCCATCTTGTATCTCTCATTGCGATTACAGTGATACTTACTTTTGGATCTATGTCTGTATTTCTTGAAAAATATTTGTCGACCGGCATTAAAACCCTAGCGTTTACACCAGCACATTATTACTAAGAATAAATTTCCAAACAGAAACTAAAGGATTAGAATATGATCACGTGGCAGAGGTTTGTGTCTACGCATGCTCTATTTTGTTGACTGCTGTAATTCAAGACAGCCGAACTAGAAATATTAATTTATCAATTTCCGAAAGAAGGATATCATTTCAAGCCGAGAAGATTTCGAAGAGATTATTTCTAAGGATTTTCAATGAATTTCATGAGCAATAGCTTGTTTTGGTTAACTCTCATGAATCATCTACTCGAGCAGTATTTTCTGCACGAACAATCGAAGATCGATAAGGACAGGGTTTCAAGATGAGCGATAGTATTAAACAAATTCATTCAGCGTGACTCGTTATTCTCTTGCACTTGACAATATATATTCTTATAGCCTATATTTATGTATTTATATTAACTGTTTTGGCTTCAAAGTCTACTCACAAAGGAACATGAGGTACATAGCAATATTTATTTTAAGTAAAATAAATAAATAAATAACTTGCTACGCACCCACCTTGGTTTGATCTTTGCCGTTCGAAGCGTTATGTTCTCCGTTATTTTTTCTTCAAAAAGATGGTGATCCATTAAAAATATCGATAAATTATAAAATTATAAAATGTAAATCAATTATGAGAGAGGTCTGGAGCAAATATTAGCCTGTATTTACGTTTTAAATGAAGCATTTTGATTTTAAAGCGAGCTATGTACAATTTTCGTGCGAATATGTACGTTCATGAAACCTAATTACGTATGCCAAAATCCGGACCGGTACTGGAATTAGAGTTCCAGATTGAGTTGTTCGATGACTTCGATGAGTAAGGTTTGTCTTGATTTTTCTTTCTGAGAAAGTGTTCAAAAATAAATTCTGTATAGTTTTACTGTGCATTGCTGATCGACTCAATTCAAAACGCCCACTTATTTATTTCATCAAAAACATCAAAAGTGTAAATGTCTAACACTACTTCTCTAGATGTGCAACCTTTCCAGCAATATTTCATAACCAGGCCAACCTTTACCAGGTATCCCAGCGCACCCTGAGCCCAGAGTCTTGTTAGCATATAAACTTATTGCCTTTCTTTCTCTCTCACACCTATTTGCTTTTTGATGGACTACTATGGCGATACGGCTACCATCTTTCCAAGGTGCAAAGCAAAACAAAGGTTACAGTAAGATGCAAATGGCTCAAACAAGACTTCGATGGCACACAACAGCCATTCTTTGATATGTAGTGAACCTAGGGGAATGGTTTCCTACAAACATAAGAACTCAAATCTTTACAGATTTTGATCATCCACTTGCCGTCCCCTGCTACTGCGGCACACCTTGGCCAATAAGAGGTAGGACTATCTTCAAACTGAACTGGTGGTACCATGGTTTTGGTGTTGGTCCCATCACTCCACTTGAAGGTGCTGGTATCATTCATGGCATTGAGACCAATCCACAAACCTTGTTGTTTATAATCTGTTTAAAAAAGTAGAGGAGAAAGTCATGTGACTAGTCAAACACGTTTCTGCACTTTAGACGTTTCGTGCCGTGATGCCAAGTCTGAACATACACGGTGCTAATATCTTCTGGTACTCTTATCTAGATACATTTTCTCCCAGCGCATTTAGTACGTAATAGCAAGATCTTCTAGGGATCCTTTGTTTTAAGAGGAACAGTTTAACCGCTAACATTCCTCTTGATAAATAGACTAAATCGGCTAACACAATGTTTTACCCAATTCAAATCTTCTGAGAATAAGATAATTTGTTTATTATATTTCTAAGGCATTGATATGTATATTATAGGTAATATAATAAACAAAGAAAAATATTCCCAAAAGGATTGAATTGGCTAGAACATTGTGTTCTATTCTTCGATTGCACGTCATCGCGGCCATGTTGGTGCCATTTAACAAAAGATTTCTCCTTAGCATCCATCGTTAACTGCACCACAATGGCTGCCATGTTTTTGTCTTTTGGCTCTCTTGGGAATGCTTACAACCCATCAACACAAAGATGTGGAGGTTGTATTCTTTGATTGCACGTTACGTCATCGAGGCCATGTTGGTGTCATTTAAAAAAAGATTTCTCCTTAGCATCCATTGTTAACTGCACCACAATGGCTGCCATGTTTTTGTCTTTTGACTCTCTTGGGAATGTTTGCAGTCCATCAATTCTATTTAGTCTATTGTTTTGTACACGATTCCAACAATTTCCCTTTTTATTCAAATCCAACTAGTAGTCTATCGTTCATATTAAATGCTGTGTTCTGATAGGATGAGTTACCACTAGGTTATAAGTTATTTCCTACTTGTAGCAAAAACCAAAACATTAGATTTATCTTTTAATTCAAAACTCGTTTACATCTAAATATTTGAACGTACCATTAAAAAACCCCTTGATATCTCCAAGATGCATCTGTAGTGTCGGGATCCCTGTGTGTATAGCGAAGTATTATGGTCTAGAGAGACACACATGGCATGATCAAGTTGTGAGAGAGAGTCAGTTAAGCTATGAACAAGAAGCTTTATTAAAARCCTAGTTTGTTATACCGTGTTGGGTATTTAGAACTTTACAATTGGCGACGAGGATGGTAAACATTCAATTGGGATAAAAAAATTTAAAAAAATGGCATCTTCAAGTCTAGAAATTGGTGGATTAAAACCGTTTGATGTACACAGTGACCCGAATAGTTTGGCGCTGGAATGGAAGCGATGGCTTCGAAGTTTTCAACTTTATGCCGATGGAAAAGGGCTGATTATCGCTCCAGATAAAGATGACAACAAGATACAACGTAGGGCTTTACTTCTTCATTMAGCAGGACCGGATGTTCAAGATATTTTTTACGTTTTACCAGATACCGGAGGACCGAAGGATTACGCRAAGGCARAGAAAGCCCTGAGCGACTACTTTGTGACTCAGGTAAATATTCCTTACGAGCGACACCAGTTTCGGGAAATGTCCCAGAAAGAAGAAGAAACCATCGACCAGTATGTAGTACGATTAAAGCGTAAGGCAGAAGCATGTAACTACGCCGACCAGACCAATGACCAGATCAGAGATCAAATAATTTCAACTTGCCGTTCRAACGAGCTTSGACGCAAACTTCTTGAGAAGGGACAGGCCCTCACTCTGAAGGAATTACAAGATACAGCAAGAACATTTGAGGCCGTAAAACGACAGGCAAGGAATATGTGCAACCCTTCAGACCAAGGCCCAAGCCATGTAAATTGGATTGGTAAGAAACCACTCAAAGGAAGGGGAACAGGACAACAACCATTCAGGTCAAAAGAGAAGAAAGAGGAAGAGAAACCGAGTAAAGGTTCGTGCTACAGATGTGGAAGACAAGGACATTTTGCAAAAGATGTTAACTGTCCAGCCAGAAACAAGGTATGCAATAAATGTAAGCAAACGGGACATTTTGCAAACTGTTGCAAGACCAAGTCAAAGGAAGGTACTTCCAATCAAGGAGGTAARGGAGTTCGTCAAGTAACTGARCAGCCAGATTATCCATTTGCAGTCACTACAGCAGACAAGGAGATACCAAAGATTGACATTGTCATTGGGGGAATTCAACTTGAAGCAGTATTATTGGATTCTGGATCTACATGTAATGTTATTGACAGACAAACATGGGAGAAACTCAAGAGTGAAGGAATTGTTTGCAAGGCAAAGAAGYCTGATAGAAAGCTGTTTTCTTATGGTTCAGAAAAACCCCTCAGTACTGTTGGTGAGTTTGAAGCTGAACTTTGTTACAAGGATAAGACAATAACTGTTTGTTTTGTTGTAGTTAAAGAGAAAGCAATTCCAATATTGAGTAGAGAAACTTGTGAAAAGCTGGAAGTCCTAAAGATTGTTATAAATAGTGTTGATGAGCAGTCCTCTATGTTTACTGAGTTCAAGGAGTGCTTTGAGGGAGTTGGAAAACTCAGAGATTTCAAGGCCAAACTCCACATAGATGATAGTGTTAAACCAGTAGCCCAGCGGCAGAGACCAGTACCTTTTGGTGTAAGACTGAAAGTGGAAAAGAAACTCAAGGAACTTGTGGATGCTGATATTATTGAACCAGTTACAGGTCCAACACCATGGGTAARTCCAGTTGTAGWAGTGCCAAAGAARGGGGATGACATTWGACTTTGTGTAGACATGAGAAAGGCGAACGAGGCTATTGTAAGGGAACGTCACCCTAWACCTTCWGTAGATGAAATTCTATACAACCTAAATGGCAGTAAAGTGTTTAGCAAGCTAGACCTGAAGTGGGGCTTCCATCAAATTGAATTGGACGAGAATTCCAGGGATATCACCACCTTCGTTACACACAAGGGACTGTACCGCTATAAGAGACTTATGTTCGGTATCAGTTCTGCACCAGAATTATACAATCACATAATTAGACAAGTCCTAGTTGGCACTGAAGGTGCTGATAACATTTATGATGACATAATTGTGTATGGGAGCTCAGTTGAAGAACATGACAAAAGGCTACGAGAGACACTGAACTGCATCAGGGACAAGGGGCTGACCCTTAACGGAGAAAAGTGCGAATTCAGGATATCAGAACTTACCTTTATGGGGTATTTGCTTTCTGAAAAAGGAATTGGCCCAACAGAGTCCAGGATTGAAGCAATAGTTAATGCACGAGAGCCACAAGATGCTGAAGAAGTACGCAGCTTCCTAGGATTAGTGAACTTTAGTGCTAGATTTATCCCAGACCTTGCAACGATTGCTGAGCCGCTCCGAAGTCTAACAAAGAAAGGAGTAACCTTCAAGTGGGGTAAAGCTCAACAAGTGGCATTCAATGCTCTTAAAGAGGCCTTAGCTGGCTCAAACACACTAGCATATTTTGATAGAGATGCAGAAGAAACCAAGCTGATCACAGATGCCAGCCCAGTAGGACTTGGGGCTGTACTCACCCAAGTTAAGAGTGGAACAGAGCGTGTTGTAGCTTATGCCAGCCGCAGCCTAACAGATGTAGAACAAAGATACTYGCAAACGGAAAAGGAGGCTCTTGGCATTGTTTGGGGCTGTGAGAGATTCCACATGTATCTCTATGGAGTTGAGTTTACACTCTTGACAGACCACAAACCCCTGGAGATAATCTACTCAGCCAGGACAACAGCAGCACCAGCAAGGATTGAAAGATGGGTTCTCAGGCTCCAGCCTTATAAGTTCACAGTAAGGTATATTCCAGGGAAGCAAAACATTGCTGACACTCTGTCGAGATTGACAAACATTAAGGGACACTGCATTGATAAAGATGCAGAGGAATACATTCGTCACGTTGTTACTATGGCAACACCAGTTGCTATAAGTCTCAAAGAAATCGAGGAAGAGTGTGCATCAGACCCTGAGATGTCACAGTTGAGAAGATGTATACTCACAGGTGAGTGGGACGACGTCCCCTCTCAATACAAAGCAGTAAGATATGAACTGTCTACCTTAGGTAAGCTTATACTAAGGGGGACGAGGTTAGTAATACCAAAGGATTTGAGAAAGAGAGTCCTCAGTCTTGCACATGAAGGACACCAGGGTGTAGTAAAGACAAAGCAAAGACTCCGTACCAAGGTGTGGTGGGCAGGAATGGACAAGGAGGTTGAAGACAAGTGTAAAGTATGTCAAGGATGCCAACTAGTTGCTCAACCATCCCCACCAGAACCCTTGAAGTCAACACCCTTTCCAAACGAACCTTGGCAGGACCTGGCAGCAGACTTGATGGGTCCTCTCCCTGCAGGTGAATATGTTTTTGTCGTTGTTGACTACTTCAGCAGATATTTTGAAGTGGACATATTGARGTCTACTACAGCAACGAAGATCATCGAAAGTCTAGATAAMATTTTCTGTACTCATGGTCTACCCATGACCTTAAGGACAGACAATGGTCCACAATTCGTGTCGGAACAGTTTACATCATATCTAGCTGAGAATGGGGTAGTCCACAAAACATCAACACCTTTGTGGCCCCAAGCCAACGGTGAGGTAGAGAGACAGAATAGAAGTCTACTTAAAGTACTTAAGATTGCACATGCAGAAGGGAAGAACATGCATTCTGAGCTAAGAAAGTTTCTCATGGCCTACAGGACAACACTTCACAGCAGTACGGGTAGTACACCAGCCAAGCTACTCTTYAATAGGGAAATGAGATCAAAGTTACCAGAGTTAAAAGAAACACTACCAGCCTACAGTGAAGCAAGAGACAAGGACACAGAAAACWAGCAAAAGAGAGCTGATTATGCTGATACCAGAAGAGGAGCTCAAGAAAGCAACATYGTASCAGGTGAYACAGTTTTGTTAAAAMAAAGAAAAGAGAACAAACTGTCTACAACTTTTGGAAAGATTCCATATGAAGTTACCAGCAAGAGCGGCAGTGAGGTGGTAGTAACCAATCCCGAAAGAGGAAGTTACAGGAGGAATGTCACAGAGATAAAGAGGTTCTTCAAAGATGGTGATAGTGAAGACCCAGTCCACGTTCAGCCTAGTTTTGGGAGCATCGAGACTCAACAGGAAAACTATGGTACAGGGACTAGTGCGGAGACTGTTTTGCAGCCGCAAGGCACTAAACAGGAGGTTCCTAGTACTCCAGCAAGACC